ATGGCGCCTCTTGTTCCATTCTCCACCCAGCCTGTACTTGTGCTTGGGATTGCCCCAACCCAGGTGCAGGACCTTGCACTTGGCCTTGTTGAACTCCATGAGGTTGGCAGTGGCCCACCTCTCCAGCCTGTCTAGCCTGTCCAGGCAAAGTGGGCTGAATCCTAATGCACATTGCTAAAGGTAGTCTGTTCTTTCTAAGTGGCTAGTTTGGCACCCTGGAACAGAAATCTGACAGGTCCAAATGACCGTTGCGTATCTCACCAAAACGACACTTCGTGGCAAGTTCTGCTCAGGGTGGGAGGCACGAGTTGGCACACAGCACTTGTTAGGTTCGTCGCTCTAATGCTGTGTTGATGGGGCCAGTCAGCATAAAACCTATTTAAAATGGAGCAGAGTATGGTGTTCGATTCACCTGATAATGGTGTATTGCAGCAGTTTTACATTCCCAGTGTGAAGACTGAATTAGATAATTATAATACAGCTTATTTGCATATGGCTAATTCTGCTTTTTTTTTTTCCAAGTACACTCTCCGTGGGCTGGGCCGATAAGAGCTATTGCCATTACAGTCCCTTTAGTTGTCATTTCCGCATTTGCAACGCTTTTCACAGTGATGTGCCGGAAGAAACAGCAAGGTAAGAGGCTTTATTCAATGCACACTTCCATTTAAAGATGCAATTTCGCAACCAAAAGAATCTTAACTGGTAGCTTTATTCCAGAAATACCGTTATGGGAAGAGCTTTCTTTTCTACCTCTCTCTCCTTCCTGCCCACAGCATTTTTGTTTGTTGAAACTTGTAGCAAAGTCTTAATCAGTGCTTGATGGTAACTTGTTGCCATAGAAAATATTGTATCACAAATCAAGACTTCACTGTAGAAAGGAGAGAACAAAATGCCTGTTGGGAAATATATTTGGTTTCGGATTTCATTTCATTTGTGAAAGTACTACATGGCCATATAGGATACAAACAGATTTGTAAAGTGATACATTTTCAACATTCTCTTATTTCATTCAGAAATGTCTGATTCATACTTATTTTAAACCAGAAGGGAAGTAAAGCCACGTGATACCAATACAGTTCTCAGCACTGTCTGGAATACTACCTGTATCTATTATTCCACGTTTGCTCACTTTCCTGGAAGTTGCCTTTACACTTCATCCTAAGCCATTTTCCGAAATTTACCCTTTCTAGGACTTATTGCAGATGTTTCTCTGAATTAGATTCCATCCCTCTTTCCTGACTGCTCTCTCCTCTGTGTCCAGGAGCTGGCAAGTCACACTTGCTACACTGAGAAGTTAAAAATCAATTGGCCTTTTTTTGTAGAATCTTCATGAATATGGAAAAAGGGATTACTTCCCTAAATGTCACATATCTGTGTTACCCATCTGAATTTTGGCACTGAGGTATACTGCAAGTGCTATATGCCACCTGGGTTAAATTCTTCTACCTTCTGCTCTTCTGTAGCTATCACTTTGCTCACAGCTAGCATAGTTCCTGAAAAGAACCCAGACAAATCACTACGGATTTGTCTGCAGAGCGAGTTGTTCCAGAGTAGTTATTCCTGGTGAATTGTTGTAAATTAAATCCCTAGATGAATATTTGTAGTTCGAAATACTCGTGCTTTATTCCAAATTAGCTTAATCAACTGTAGAACTAGATTGAATTAGTCTGGCATAAGACCAGATTTTTATGCTCCAGCATAAAAGCATCTGCACGTGGAAAGATACACTAATAGCTGTTTTGATTTAAACTAATCGTAACTTAATTCAAATTAATGTCAAATGAATATGCAAATGTGTTTATATATATACACCAGAGAGATACTGTGTGATAATCTGAAGGGATCTGTGTTTCTGGAGATTCAATATTCTTGTGTTGTGGTTTTTTACAAACAAGAAACTTTGTTATACAGGAAACTCTTGATGATGATAGGTCTTTAAGGCTGATAATATTTGAAAAGGGAGTTGAAGACGAAGCTGAATAGAGGTGAAACAACCTCATTCTATTTATAAAATAAACCTTTATTGATTTTTGAGCTGTACGGCAATAACTGCACATTTCACTTCCAAAGTGTGTCCCACATATGTAGCAACTCATAAGCTGGATAAATAAAGCATATGCAACTTTTCTTCTTCAGGCTGTAAAGGAAAGGTAATGACTTTTTTCAAAAGGTATTCTGTATGCATTAGCAATGACCCTGCAAAAGTTTATTTAAAAAAAACCTCAAAAGCTAAATCCAACCAAACCCCAAGCTTTGTAGTGTGAACTCTCTTTCTGTCTTCCAATTTAGAAAATATATATTCCCATCTAGACGAGGAGAGCTCAGAATCTTCAGCGTATGCTGCAGGTCTGCATGTGGAAAGACTTCGTCCCCGGCCAAAAGTTTTCATCTGCTATTCCAGCAGAGACTGCCAGAAACACATTAACGTCATCCAGTGCTTTGCTTATTTTCTTCAGGACTTCTGTGGCTGTGAGGTAAATTCAACATTTCTTCTCGAAGCAGTTTCCTTAATTGAAATGGCACCCCCAGAACTAATAATATGTGCGTGAAAATGTGGTCTTTCAATCTCTCCTTTCCACAGAGATAACTAACGACATTATTTTTATAAATATTGGCTATATACATTTTTTTACAACAGAACGAACAACAACAACAAAAAAAGAGAGTAGTTGGAAAATGTGTACCTCATTGAATCCAGGACTTTCAGCTGTGTTTAGTTTATTTTGTATTGCCTGGTTTTTCCTGTTTAGTAGATCTTGCATCTTTGTAGTCAGCAGCCACAAAGAGGTATCGGTGTCTACCTGATAGACTTCAGTATTCCTAAAATACGTTTTATATTGTGATTTTGAAATAGTTGAATCTGTCAAAACTTCTGGTCTATTAATGCTGTAAGACCAGCATGTCTTTTCCTTGGTTTTGATTTAAAGCTGTGAGAAAGACGTTCAAGTTGTTATTTCAAACAACTAAGCTTAGAATCTGACTGTTTTCTAAAATATAGTCAGTGTGGCCAATCTTCCACTTTTCAACTGTAAAAAGACGAGACATTTAGTCTGTTTTTTGCTGCGCTTTACTCCTGCCGCTGCGATTTTCCGTGCAAGAAGGGAAGGTGGGTTTTCCAGCATACAGCAAGCCTGGCCTCTAGTGGCCTGCCACCCATGCTCAGCGCCTCACGCCTTTGGGGATCTTCACTATTGATTCATACGCCTACGGTACTTCTGGTGAGGTGTTCTGTAAGTCACATCCTTGAATCCCCTTTTTAGAGGTGTACTTCAGCCCTGGTACACCACACCTCTCTGGAATAGTGATAAGGTGAGCTGTTACCGCTCTAACGATGTACCATGGACCATGTGGTATCAGGCATCATTTAGGATGGATATAACAAAATAGTGATAGCACCCACATACAGAAATATGTGTTTTCATTAAAGCTGTGGAGTTTAATATAAAAAGTGATGCTCAAACCGTAACGGAACAGTTGCACAATTATTTTTCATACGAAAGTGAAGTGTTTTCTCGTAAAGGACAATACCAGTGGCATTTAGTAGCCATATAAAATAATAACCTGACCATACTAAGAATCCTTTCTCACAGATAGGCTGACAGCGTTTTGAAGAACAGGAAACAAAACCAGCCATAAAAATCCCTGCATTGTACCTTATCAGAGTATCTCCCAAGCAGCTGTAAAATGACTTCTCTTCCCCAGGCATAGCGAAGCAGAGTTGGAAGGGACCTATAGTGATCATCTAGTCCAACTGCCTGACCACCTCAGGCACGGTCACTGTCTGCCTGTAGCTGACTGCAGTAACGCTTTTCATGAGTCCTTGTGTTCTAGGCATCCACCTACTCTCCGTCTTCCGACATGGCAAAGTTTTCCAGTCTGTTGTGGCTGATAGAGCAGAACAAAAATACTTTCTTGACTGGAAAAATGCTCAAGGGAATACTTTTTAAATGACTTTGGTGTGTGTCTATTCTGAATGTTTTTTGCATTGGGTTTTTTTTGTGTTATTCTACTGCTCATTCTTTCTTTCATGAGATATAGCAGTGTCCTTTGTCTTGGTGTACGCAGGCATTTCAGACCATGTAGAATGTGAAGAAAACCCTGACAAAATAAAACAAGTCTTACGATAAAATTTTCAGACCTTTCTTATCAGAGAAAATCTGCTGCTGTTTCAAATCCTAACTGAAAAGGCTCAGTGTCAGAGGCACTAATTATGTGTGTATCTAGATATGAAAGTTCTCGGCATCAGAGCTCATTAATATGCAAAAGATGATAAATTAATATGGATTTCTATTACATTCAGCACATTAAGGACCCAAATATACAACAGTTCAATTGTTTGAGGCAGGCACAGTACACTGTTTATTGTGGATTGACAATACCTAATTTGATCAGATAAGTACATAATGTTACTTGGTCCAGCCACATTTTCTATGTTCTCTTTATTCCCCAAGAAATATCTTCCAAATCCATAGTGGTTTTGTTCTTTTAGGAACTACCCAGTGTCCATTTAACTACTTGGTTTTGTACTGTTACTTGTTGATTCCATAAATTTATGGAAGGTTTTCCTTTTTTACCTTAGCAATTCACCCACTTCTTGGCCCACGGAAATATTCCGCCCACAAGCCAAGTTCAGAATGAATGTGAGGCCTGGCTTATTTTGGTGTATAACTACCGACATAGTTTGTCCACTGTCAGTGCTATGTCAATTATTTCTCTTTTTAAACCAGCTTATATGTGCATCAGGGACGAGCTGAAGTTAAACTAATCATTAATTCTCAGTTGTCAGATAAACACAAACTGACTCACTGAGTATAACTCATTTAAATTTTATTAACAAATATATCTAGTAATGAATATCAAGCAGAATGTCCTTTTCTTTTCCAGGTGGCTCTAGATTTGTGGGAAGATCTAAAAATTTGTAAAGAAGGTCAGAAAGAGTGGCTTATTAAAAAAATAAATGAGTCGCAGTTTATCATCATTGTGTGTTCCAAGGGAATGAAATACTTCGTTGACAAAAAGAACTGGAAACACAGAGGGGTAACCAAAGATGCAGGAAAAGGAGAACTCTTCCTGTTTGCTGTGTTGACTATTGCAGAGAAGCTTCGTCAAGCAAAGCAGAATTCAAATGACCTCTGCAAGTTCATTGCAGTCTACTTTGATTACTCCTGTGAAGGAGACATCCCTGCTATTCTGGATCTAAGTACAAAATACAAACTCATGGACAATCTCCCTCAGCTGTATTCACATTTACACTCCAGAGATCCTAGTGTACAGGAATCAGAGGGGTTTCCTGCTAACATGAGTAAAAGGAATTATTTCAGGAGCAAATCTGGGAGGTCCCTTTATGTTGCTATTTGCAATATGCATCAGTTCATTGATCAGGAACCAGATTGGTTTGAGAAACAATTTATTCCCTTCCCTCCACCTTCTTTACATTACTCAGAGCCTGTCATGGAAAAATTTGATTCGGGCTTGGTTTTAAATGACTTAGTGAATAAACAGGTGACAGATGGCGATTTTTACGTGAAAACAGATGTAAATATTATTTCAGCGGGGAATTCAGACTCTCACTGTATAATTCAGCACTTAAACCTTGGAGAAGATACAGAAACTCAGGACATTCAAGGTGGTGGCAGCTCTGTTCTTCAGCCGTTGTTACATGTTGTTAAAGCTTCCAATCTTAAAGATATGCCTCGAGATTCTGGAATCTACGATTCATCTGTTCCTTCATCTGAATTATCTTTGCCTTTAATGGAAGGACTATTGACAGACCAAATTGAAACATCTTCCATTACAGGAAGTGTTTCCTCGTCATCAGGTTTAGGTAAGATATAGCGTGGTTTCAGAAATTATATTCAGTTATTGTGAGCATATTTCTACCATCTCAAAATGCTTAGGATGGTATGTGAGGAGCCACACAGAAGGCTGCAGAGAAAGGTAGGCATTGTGTAAGGATGGTAAAGAAGGGTAGGTTTCAGCCAATTTATAAAAATTAACCTTTTCCTTAACTTACTGAGGGGAGGGATTCTTAGCTAAGTAAGATATCTCTAAAATTCTGTTAATAAAGTCACTTCTCATTAATTGACCTATTACTGGAGAGATGGTTGTCTCTTCTAGGGACTCCTTGGCAACTGGGATACTCGGCTGACGGCTGTGTGCTTTAGTCAAGAGGGTGATACGGCGAAGCTTTCTTACAGAACGGCCATAAATCTAAAACTGACGTCCTGTGTTGCTCCAGCACTTACTAGAACCTTTAGGGGTATAGTCTGTACTGTGGTTAACTCAAGTTTCAGAACGGCATTAGGCTTCTCATCAGATATGGGGCTGGGGGGAATGAACCAATGGAGGAGTGAAACAGTGGAGGAATTTAAATGCTTGGAAGACACTGTCCAAAATGGATACCCAGCTTAGATGCCTACAGTGAGAAGGTGTAAGTATTACCTCAGGCTATATAAAAAAGCTCGGCTGACCTCACTAGATACGCTGTGTTGAACTGGCATCACAGCTACATCAGCGTGTAATGGTCCAGCAATTGCATTCATAGGATAAAGTGATGTGTGCGGAGATTTTCCTTAAGCAGCTACAACAGGTGAATATTGCATTTTGATGGTGGAACTGCCCCACTTTCTTGAATGAGTGTTGGCAGTTAGCTAATTTGTTAGACTTCTCTTGGCTAAATGGCTTATCTTTTCTTGTTATTCAGATAATTTATAATAATGTTTCATGCCAGAATTATTTTGAGGGGAGAAAATCTAGAGGTTGATTTACAGTTATAGCATCTATATCTATAGGCTAGATAGTCTGTATGGCAAAGTAACTAAACCCTAAACAGTTCAGGTGGAAAAAAGTAGAGATTTACTGATTTAATTACATAAGCCACAAATAATCTGTTATTGTTCCAAGATGAATGCTATATCCTTTCAGTTCCTGCCATTTTCTAACATAGCCTGTTCTCATATTTGTGGGAAAAATTACAGATGGTATCTGTAAAGGTTCTAGTGTTGGATGGAAGTAGGATGCTAGTTTAAAATTTCTGGCCTCTCTTGTAAGAATGCTTTACCAGTATTCCGTTCCTGATTCAGTCGCCGAGCTGTCAGCTGGGTACCCCAGCTGCCAAGGAGTCACCTAAAGAAAGACACAGTCTTTCCAGCAATTAATTCTCAAGTCACATACCTACTTGTTACCACGTTTCAGCTATAGAGGTTAAACATTACAGCACTAGCTGGTAGAGTTGGATCTTAACACTGATGTTCCAGCATCTTAAACCACACTAACGTCTGCCATTTTCCCACTGACTGCCTGTCAAAAAGCACCACGCTGACCGACGCTCCCTCAAACCTCCCCTTACCCAAACCACAGTCCTAATTAGGTACCAGGCGCAAAGGAGACAGTATCTGGAGCTGAGCATCATCTGCCTACTAGAGTGCAAGCCATTAAAACGTTTTACTGTCCCAGACATACAAAATATTTATAGCCCTATTGTTTATATGCCTAATAATGAGGGAGGGAGATAGTTGGTTGTGTGTGGGGGTGTGTGTTTGTTTTTAAGCTTTTATTCTTGTTCCAAGAGTTGAACGTACCCAAATTATTACTCTGAATTAACAATACCATTTCTGTTCTGGCTACCTATTTTTTTATCCATTACTTGGTCAGAACAGAAGTGAATAGCTCTATCATTTAGCATGTCAAGGCAGATCTTTCATTTTTTTCTTTTAAAGTCCGGCTTGATTTTATCCTCTGAATTAAAATCCTAAGTCAAATAATTTGTAATAACTTCCTGTCTTTCAGTGCAGTTCATGTGCAGACCACTGATCTGCTAAGATTCTCAGAGATCATCATACTGGGCATCGTCAACTGGAGTTCAAACCAGTTTAGTTTTGAGGAATACCAACAACCAAACCTGTACTAGGGCCATTCACTATTAGGGTCTTCTCTCAGAAGCCCTGCCTGGGGAGAAAATTAATATTAATTCTCAGATAAGGAGTTACTGAGTGTGGTGGTTCAGCCTCATGGGTGTATGGCATTGGGATCCAGAGGGTTTTCCTAAATTTTCATGGCACTGTTTCTAAAAATGTTGACCAAATAGAAAACCAGTGTTTCAATTACCGAATCTCTGAATCTCACCTTTTTTTTTTTTTAATTTTTTTTTACTTTCACAGGGGAAGAAGAACCTCCTGTAATCACTGCTACAAAATTCTTAGTGCCTGGAATATGTAAAGCAGAACTTCATTGCCACATCCATACCGACGAACTGCAGGCAATTGCTCCTTTATAATACATTACAACATTGTTATGCATCGCCACTTTATCAACAGCCTCGGTTTGTGCTTTAACTGCCACGCTGTCTCAGCACGACATCTACCTGAAGGAACAAATACTCCCTCAAGAAGGTCTGACTCCTAAGGGATTTTTTTATGGCTGGTAAACTTGAATCTGCTGGTCTTCATATGAAGTCTTTCAGGATTTGAACAATGCAGCATGGAAAACTAGATGAGAATGCATTTCAGAAGTATTACTTTTACTAATCTAAATGTGATGGTGTTACACTGTTTACAGTGCCATAATCAAAACTGACTTCTTTTTGCTAGAACTAATCTTGTAACTGGACATCAAATAGCTGGAATATTGACTCTTAGTAAATTTTGTAGTCCAGCCTCTAGTTTTAAGTGCTGACATACTTGATGGCAGGAGTGTTGTAGTGAAAGCAGGATTTTATTCCGAAGCAAGACAAAATGCCAAAGGTGAGATCAAGAAATTCTCCATCAGAAGTCATTTTCTTTTAGAAATGTTTGAGCTCCTTTCCTCACAGTCTCCTCTCTTTCCCAAAAGTTCATGTGTCTCAGTATTTAATTTCAGATAGGTGTCTATCTCCTTTTTCTCTCTGATTCCCCTGTCTCTTCCCCACAGTCTGGCTGTGATGACTCACAGATAGCACTGTACCGAGTCTGAAGTATTATTTTTATAATACACAAAAATACAGACCCTGCATATGCTGAGCGATACCATGGAAACCTGTTTTCTTCCTGGAAGGGCTAATGTAAGGAATACTTCAGAGAGATGGGGAAGCAAGACCAAATTTTGTCTTTATGACATCATTCTGGATTTGTTCAGCCATGAGATGAGTATGCTTTATGGGGGATTTCATATTATCCTTCAAGGACATGCTGCTACACAATCACCTGGGGTGAAACAAGTGAAGCAGTTAACAGGCACGAATACTTTGCTTTGTTTTAGGCCAACCAGTAAACAGAAGCCTATGAGTTATTTTGCTGTTATTTTTCATACTGCTTACCATAACTTGGTGATTAGGATGCAGTACACTGGTGTTACATTAATAAAAAATGCTAAAACTACAACTGGACATGTTTATCTAAAGACACAGAGCATCATGTCCTTCCTTTTGCAGTAAGCAGGTGGGTGTACCGTCATCCAAAATATCCACGCTGTTTCCAAAAGGCACCTTTTCATCAGTAAAACCCCTCTGTGTAACTGCAATTCTAGGCATGATTACAATAAGCACGATACAGCAAATAGTCAAGGACAGGTTATCCATGTGCCTTTGCTGATGGAGTCAGATGCTGTCTCGTTTAACCTCCCTTCACGTTCCGCTAACAGGAGGTTACTTTGGGAATACATCAAGTGAGAGCTCAACTCAAATATTGTCTCAGATGTAATAGATGAGAATTAGACATTGCTGACTGTTACACTGTATTGTCCATTTTAATAGCATGAGGTAGAACTGCTAAACCAGTGATGATTTGGTGAATGAGTCGCTTTAAAGCCCCTGTTTCAGGTTTTGGTGTTTCTTCTCATCAGTTTATATTTAATCCTTTGAATTTCCCAACAGAAGAGACTCAAAATTGTTGTCACAGATGGACTAAGAAAGTGCTGTAACAATTATTTGAACGTAACCATCAATGGCAGAACTCCAGCATGCCTTGCAATTGTAACGTGGAATTCTGTGATCATCTACGTGTATGTGTCAGATTTGGAGGGCCTTATCCATGTATGTAATGTTCCTTACTCTTCCTGTTTTCTGAATTTCAGAGAACACTAACTGGAAAACCTCAAACTTGTAACAACTAAGTAAGTTCTAGGTAGTTTTAAGTATGTAGTGAATCATCTGGGCCTTCACTGATGACTTTCTTGTTGTGCTGTGCCTTGGGTTGTACTGGAAGCAAAGTTATTCACGTTTTCCCACTCTTTGAAGTTGAAAAATACCTGGGTCAAACTAGACATGATAGAAACTAGAATGATCTAGTGGTAAATGCTCCCCACAAAATCCAGCTATGAAGGATCTTGATTCAGGGCAATTCTTGCTATTTTACTAGAGAAAGAGTTTGGATTTCTGCCTGTGTCATCAAGGTTACAGAATTTGTGTGCTGAAGAGCTGCTGTGCATAGAAAAGACAAAGCTGCAGAACATCGAGGGGAGGCAATTTCTTAGCGGTTAGCTGGTGAAGGAAGTGCTGCTTTCCTCCGTGGGAAGTTGCAGCTCACATACCGTTACTTTAGGATAGACTAAAGATTGGGAAGATGTCCTGGTTCCATTAAATTCAGTAGCAGAATTGATATTACTTAATGGAATTAGGTTTTCATTTAGAGCTTCAAGAAAGCTCGGCTTCAAAAACAGACGAAGGCAGTTGCACAAAGAGTCACTTGTTATTAATGTTTTTATTTTTATGTCTTCAAAATTTGCTGTACAATCCTACAAATCTTATTTTTTTAATTATAGAAGGTCTATGCAAATACAAATCACATCTGTTGGTGGGGATGGAGGAAGAAAAGAAGAATCCCTTCATTCCTTCTTAGCATAAGGTCGAAACAGCATATTACATCTCCTTAGAAGAAAGAGAATATAATTAATTGAAAATTTAGAGTAGAACAAGCCCACTCTTAAAACATACAAAATTGGGAAAAGTAATACTTAACCTGGTTTAGCATACTTTTTTTTTTTTTAAATAAAGCCACAGTGCTTAAAAAAATTAGAAAAATATTGTGTATATTGAGATACTGGGAGGACATTGTATTCAATTTGCAAGAATTCTGTGTTTTCCCTCCAGGAGAATAACAGCAAAAGTCCTTGTGAAAAAATACTTTTAAAACAAGTAATGAGGTTTAAAACAAATACATACATTAGAGGTTAGCTTACTATTATTTTCAAGCATTAGTAGACTCTAATTAACAGAACGTTAATTGAAAGGATCCCTTTAATTTCTGCTAGAATGAAGTGTGTGGAGGTTGTTTGGGTGTTTTAAAATATGTTTCCTGGGAGGGTGGAAAAAACCATTGGAAAGCTGAAGGTTCAAGATATGGCAGTATGTTCAGTATTTTGAATGGTAAGTGTAGCTGTTGCCATGATTCGTACCTGTACATAAACACATGAACTGTTGAAAATGCATCTGGAATAATTTTTTGGTGATGCTGTGATTTAGAAGTTAAATATAAAAATAAAACATTTTTGCTCATTTTCTTCCATTGGGGTTTTCTTAGTAGTATAAGGTGACTTGGCTTAAGAGTCCAATTGTTTAATCCAAAACCACTTTCAATGAGGTTATACACACCACACAAGTAACCAGACTCTAACTGCTCTTCATATTTCACCTGGAAGGGAATCAGATATTTTGATGGGTGTTTAATAGTCAAGCAACTGTGAGAAACTTCAGTTTTCTGAAACTGCTGTATTGGACAGACTGGGTCTGATTTTTTAATTTTTTTAAATACAACTGCAGTAGTATGATTTTATGTAATTATTTTTCCTATATCCTCCTTGAAAGTCTCCTAGCAGTACATGGTTCTGCATGTCAAGTGAAACCTATCCACACCAACTACAAAACTAATAACCTGGATGGGATTAATTTTGTCAAAGAAGATGTGAAAATTACCTAAGATTTATGTATTTTTTGTTTCCATCCAAGTGGATTTCAAAGCACTGCTCCAGTCAATGAACCCTGAAAACTGTAATTTCAGGGATAAGCCTTGAAACCACGTGTATTCCTGGTGTTGCTCAGGTAAATGAAGGTTGTTATAACGGACTTTTGGTCTAGCACAATCAAACTTAGAATGCTACAGAAAAAATCTGTAGTGAGTCCGTCAGACTTGTTATTACTGAAGACTTTAACTGTTTGCTTAATACCAGAATGTTTGCATAGACGTTAGCTGTGTTGAATTTAGGGGATGTTGCTTAAAATGTTTATATCTGTTGTCTTCTTTGGGCCTCTGTCCCACATTCCGAATTCTGCTTCTATCACCAGGTACATCAGAGACATTTTGAAGGGTCACTAAGCGCGTGAATGGTTGCGTTAGTAATTCAGAAGGGAAGTTGATAAGTTACTTCTCTCTATCTGAGCTGGACTTGAGTTGTGTTATCCATGTGTATATTCTGCAGTCCTCAGCTGTACCCTCTGCCTCGGAGCCCTGTACTTGAGGGACTCTGGTTGAAAGAAAATGGGAAGAAAGCGTTGCTCTAGTTTTTATACCTTCAGTTTAAAACATGAGAACCTTCAGGATGCTTTCCTGATGTTTGGGCATTGTTGGCCAAAATTCTTCCACCTTGAGGATGTGGAAAGATATGCTTTGATATGAGGATGTGAATATGGATAATACAGCTCAGAAAACGTGAGGAAGCAAGCTCTCTTCTTTCTTTTTTTATCTTGCATTAAATATTGTGGTCACCTGATAGTGAAACCCCTCACGCACACACACACACAAAAAAAAGCCCAAACCAAACAAAACCCCCCAAAACACAACAACAAACACTTTTTGAGTTACAGTGAAAAGCATGCACTGCACATGATACATGCATTAAAACTGGTCAGAGCCAAATTATTTCTAAAAGGTTAGAAGTTAAAGGCTGTGCCATAGATCATCTGAAGGAATATTTCCCTCTATCTGCTACAAATTATTTCATTTCACTTGTCAACCTTTGTTGCCGTTTCTGAGACTCGGAAAAAAACGAACAAGGGTCAATTTATATATTTTATAACGGGATACAATTTCATTCTTTATTCTCTTAGAACTGATTTAACAAAGTCTGATTTACCAATAATGTTAATTTTTATGGGCAGCTATAATGTTGTCCATGGAAGAAGGTAGAGATTGGCCATATTGTCCTGTTCAGAAAAAGCAGAGGAAAAGGGAATGTTCTTTCCTCGGTGCCTCATGTCATCTAGATGACCAGAAAGTGAAGTGCTTGCCTAAACCTACCTCAGTGCTAAAAGCTCTGTTCTTAGTGATGGTGGTGTTTTACTCTGATGCAGATACTTTGGGAGGGCTAGGAGCTTGAAAACATTGATGTGGAAGTGTGAAAGATGCTGGGGGGGGTGGCGATGGGAAGTTTAGTCATATATATGGTTAGAGATAATAAACCAGTACTAGACATAGTAGTTATAACAGCAAACATCAGTGCAAGAGGAAATCAATGTGTGGAGAATTGTCTTCATCAATTAATAAAAATACTTCATTTTTAATGGACAGGGGGGCTGTAACATTTAAGGCTGATTTACCGCAGAAATCAAACTACCTTTTTTTCCAGACCCTGCTGGTAGGTTCACAGGCTTCAACAATAGATGGAAGAAGGAACTACTGTGAGTGAGCGCGTGGAACGCCATCCTGTTGAGCTGCTGATTTAGCTGGAATTCTAACTATTTAATTACTAGTGGTGTGCAGAAAGATCTACCTAGAGAGAGGCAATCTTGTCGATTATACGAGTCAGGTAAATATATTTCCTAATAGTCTACAGAATTGGTACTGTTTTCTCCCCAGGGGAAGTATGCACCTGTGGCTTCACTAGCCATAAATGCAGCAACACAGGTATGCTCCCTGTGCAAATGCTGTATGAACCCTTCGACTGTAAATCAACATCAAACCATTCACGTAGCTTGCTTTGCATTTCTGTAACAGCCAACCACATTTATGGTGAGATTCCACTCAACCAAAAACATTTGGCTATTGCTAATATAATTTCCTAGGGGATACAACATTTCTTACGAATAGCCATGGGACCTGAGACTATACAAAGGACTTGCGAGACCGATGCAGGGGTTTTCCCTTATCATGGTAAAGCAACCTTTGGAGGCTACACTCTGCTTTTTTATTGGAATATTGAGTATCACCACAACTGTGGAACTACCATTCTTTATTACCTTTGGCAGTACACTAAAAATACAGATCAAAACTGAAAACAGAAGTCACCTTGTCCCTGGGTAAGAAAATTTATTTCTAACCTGATTAGAGAGGATTAAACTTGTCAAAAGACTGGGTGCCTAGCATAGCAAAAGTGAAAATTAAACACTTGGGGAATGGACTTGTTTTATTTACCTTTTACTTAGTTACCAAACT